GGATTTTTCTACAGTCAGTAATTCTGAAGTTTATAAGCAATTTAGTGGACCTAAGTCGGAAAAAAACCTTAAATTACTTTTTACCGTTGAGATTTGGACAGGGGTTTTTTGTCGCATGCGGTGAGAGGAAACACCTCCTGAAATTTTCGACATTTATCGCGTCACCCTGTATATTACTTTATCTGGCAAAGCCCTGAGGTAGAGAGAGACTAGAGAGTCGGTGAGTATAACGGCTACAGTCTCAGAAAAATTAATAAAATTGTATAAAATTAAAGAAGAAAAATAAAATTATATAAAAGAAGAAGAAAAGTCGTAATGACCAATGTAGTTTGCCGGCGCCAATATTACCCACAATATATACATTTCACACCGAATTAGGGAAAACTTGTTTCCATCAGTACAAATCAGCATGACAGCGAGAATATTCTGTACTGCGTTTTCGTCTATGTGCAAACTCAGCATAATTGATCATTGTGAGTTTTCTTTTAAAACAGACCCGAAAATATCTTGGGAAATTATTACATTCGGCGCCAGTATCGTTAGCACACCTTTTGTTTACCTGTTAAACATTTAGTCATTAAGTAGGCTTATTTTTAAACAATTTCGATGCAATGTTAGTCAGTTTCACCTCTCGGCAAAAGTGAACAGAAATGCGTGGAATTTTTACAAACAGAAGCTTTTCAATTGTGGGAAAGCTATTTTCTAGAAAAGCTGGAAAGAAAATGGATTTGTTTACAGCAAATGTATATTTACAGCAAAGTGTTACAACCGCTATCGATAAACTCTGAAAGAACCTAATTGCATTCTATGATAAAATGTAATAGTATTGTTTTTTTGCTTGAAATAAGAAAATATTGTCTCAAGACATAACGCGTAAAATTCCGCAATTATGATACAAATCACAGTTGCTACAAAACTGTAGAATTATGAAAGACTGAAAAACAACAGAAAGGAAGAAAACGTGATTTTTGTTTGTTTCATCTGTCGAAATAATTATTAATTTCCCTCTCGACGACATTTATGCACAACGATGAAAAGTGAAATTTTCCAACTTACACACCTGGCTAGCAGAGTGTGATTTCGCTCTTTATTAGCGTAATTGGAATAATTGCGAAAAGAACCTTGTTCCCAACCAATTCAAAGCTCAAGGGGTAAAAAAATAACAAATTGAACACAGTTACGTCGAGATACTTTGCATCACTTTTCTTCTCTTGGTCGCAGATTATTTTTTCAAATTAGCACTTAACAAGGCACAACGTGACAGACTTTCTCTAAATATAAGTTGCTGGGATAGAGCGATTTTGAAATGTTTATTCAACCAATTATCTTTAATAGAGTTTATTATCTTTTTTATACCAAAGATTATTTGTGTAACTGCAAGAATGCATTAAATACATGCTCTCTTTAATAAAAAAAGCTGTATCATTATGGATCGTACTCGAATTTTAAAATTTAATCTAATTCAATTATACGGTAATATTTTTTTTAGCTTTTTCGTGTTTATGCTAAAACGTGATGATCGTATTAGTTAAATATTTTAGTTGAAAAAACAGAAAATCTTAGAAAAGCTAGTAAATTATATATTAAAATAAAACTCAACCGTGCAGGCAAAACTGTTTTCTCTTTATTTCTTTAAGATTTTCTCTGTTTTAATTGCTTGAATAAATTTTCGGTGATGTTATTAAAATTATAAAGTGTTATTAAAATATCATTATCTTTTTGTCATAATTAACTTATTGTGTAACCCTACATAACTGATGATGTGATAAAATTTGAACAGAAAATGAATAATTTTAATTTATTATAATTAAATATTCTTCATCAAAATTTTTAAAATATTTCTGTCCGGAACAATATTAACCTCCACTTTCTTCTAATAAATACAAAATATATTATGAAGTTTCAAAGTTTAACTTTAATACAAACATACTAGTGTCTGTTGGACCAGGTTAAAAATACTTCAAAGAATCAAGAGCATACAGAGATTCCCGCACTTTTTTTTAATCAACGCAATGCGTTTTTTTATTGGGTGAGAAGTTGGTCACTCGTAGTCATCTCTGTGCTTTGGCCGTAGACACTCCCAAATCTTGCTTTGCATCTGCCAGGACTACGTTTTGTATCCAGCATTCACTTTTGAGTAAAAAATTATTCATTTTCTAGTATTTACTTGGGACCAACTTGGCTGTACAATATACAAGAACGTTATACCAAGTAAAAGACATTTTGGGTTTCTTCGTAAGATGAAAAATAGTTGCTCCAAGTAGAGAAGAATTTTTTCAGATAAAGAAGTTATATAAAATCATCTAGACGAATTTCAAAATGGCGGAAGTATGCATATTCCAAATCGGAAAAGGAGAGGAAGATAAAACCTATATGTGTGGAGTGTAAAAATAATATGTGCAACGCGCAAAGGTTTAAATTCGTTTAGATTAGGCATAGATAAAACTGTGTTCCTTTTATGTCATTTTAGTAAACGTTTTGTGATTGCTGTAAAGGTTGTTTCCTATATCATACTTTATTGTATTTGTGCCTAAAATAAATTCGTTAAAAGAATCCTTTTTTCCCTCAAATTCGCAGTTTTCTTAGCAAATTGCATATATGACTGAAGAAAACAAATTTCTTGCGATAAAATCCAAATTTATTGCAACACATTCACTATTTAATTGACTTTTTAGTCAGATTATTAAATATTTTAGAATAATTGATCAATATTATTCTTTTATTGAGTCTCATAAACCCAAGGGGGTAAAATTTGTTCCAGAAAATTATATGTGAGAGCTTTAAGAAGGATACTTAATCTACAATTTTTTTTGTATATTATTGAAGTTGTTAACAGCATTAAAATTCATAAACGCACTGATCACGGGGTCTGCTTTTGTTCTTCAGATATGACCTTAGTATTAATTTAAGATAAAACATTTAACGACTATACACGCATTCGTTTTCGAAAAAAATTGGGTTTGAAATCACATTTCAATCAGAAGTTTTGAGGATGCCGTAAAAACACCAAACTTGGTAATAATTAATAAGCTTTTATTGAGTATTATTTTAAGTTGATTAATTGATAGACATGATAAAATAACCAGTTTTTTAAATAAATATTTTTATCCCAATCACAAAAAAAATACAAAATCTACTAGGATAAGTAAGATTTTTCTGAATTATTTTGCATACACAATAACTTTGTTACCAAAACTATGCGGTAACCTAATACCCCCACTTTTCTTTTCTTAAAAATCACTGATTTTGATAATTTAACTGTAATACAAGGGTACATAAACATTGAATGTTTACATAATAACATAAAAAGCTGACTAACATATTTTCTTCGTTGGACGTAAAACCGTGGGATCATGGAAATGTAATCCGTCCTCAACCCTAACTTTAACTTTAGTACATAACCAATCTTGACAATTTATCTTAATCTAACTAACCCTAACCTTATCCGACCAAACATAACCAAATCCTTGGTTAGTCCTTCGATGACACAAAATTTATTTTTTATTTATTCATTATTTTTCTCAGCCCATGAGCATATCCATGTTAAAATAGTACACCTCAACCTATTAACCAGAAAATTGAGACTTTTCTATGGTTCATCATTCTATCCTTCATTTCCTTACTGAGCGAGTTTCTGTTGGTGTTCCTCCAGCCTTTATGACTAGACATATCCTGTTTTAACACATTACTCGTCAAAAGAAAAAAAATGAATGACGGATAAAAATTCCACTGGGTGGAACCAACACTGAATCACATAGCCTACACGCCATTAAAAAAAGTTTCCGCTTTGCGACCCAGTGCCGGTTCAATTAACCGACTAGCAGACAAAATCCATCATAAAATTTAATCTCCAACAGGTTAAATAACGAAATATCATGCATAGGAAGTTCTTGAAATAGAAAGTTCTTCAAAATAAAATTGCAGTTCATCTTAATAAAAAGCAGGCAATATGTTTTTAACAAGAACAGATTAGCGTTGGTGTACTAGAAAGTCTAAATTGAAGGAGTGACTGTTTTGTGGTCTCATTCTGTAAAATCTCTTCGGGTGATAATCGACTGTATGGTCTCATTTATTTCTCTAGTAAATGATAAAGTTAACCACAGAGCGCATTTTTTCCTCTAATTAACACTCCAATTTGATGAACACCGTGGTGAAGTTTATGCTTCCCTATGCGTGGTCGTCGTTCCCGCGGTTCCTTAGTTTCTCACATTGTTCTGCAGTAAATGTTTCTGAGTATGTGACACTGTTTCTTCCCGATTCATATATATCAGAGGATGTTGTTTGCATTTACTTTATGTGGACATTAAAATTTTGTTTTTTTATTAGAAGAAATAGAAATATTATGGATTTCAGTATTAGAAGCATCGACCATTTTTTCACTTATGAACACTCTGGTTCAAAATATGGTCTTCAAAAAGAAAGCGGATTTAGTTGTTACTGCAAAGCTTTTGACTTATTTTAAGGTCATCATCAGGGCAAAACAACCATAAATATGTCTACAGATTGACATAAGATTTTACAGGCGATTTCAGCTTTCCTTGAAGACCGAGTCAGTTCCATCATTGCCAAGGATGTTTAATGATTTAAATTAAAATATTTATGTTAAAAGTATTTCTGAATATTGGTCTATATTATGTCTCTGTGTGTTTACCTCGTTTATCTGTCCGCTTGTCGTTTTGTACGTTTCTATTTATCTCTGATCATCTCTTTTATCACTGTGTGCACTACGCACATATTCCTTGTCCCTTTTATGCTGTCTTAGTACGTCAAACTGTTTGTATCTCTCTCTCACTCTCTCTCTCTCTCTCTCTCTCTCTCTCTCTCTCTCAATCTTTCTCTCCTTCTATCCTTCTATCTAACTATCTCTTTATCTATCAAAAACTCTCGTTCAAGGACATAAAAATGTTTGATAGAATAAAATAAACATAAATTCTGCCCGAATTACATATGGGTGAACTTCACTCTACATGAACAGGTATTGTATTCAGCTGCGTACTTACTCGGGTTAAGGGCGTACGTGAGTTTTTTGATGAAGTTGGCCATCCTCACGGCGATGATGATGACTGGGAATCCGATGAGCTGGACCGGCAGTTCAAATCCTCCATCCTGGGCGATGGCCGGCGCGATGATGGCCGCGATCATCAATAGCTGGGCGAGCCGCATGACTCTTAACTTGGTGAAAGTCACTCGGAAAGTGAGCCTGATAACGTAAGGGTGTTATGCCACAATCCCCTCCGCCGGCCCCACTCCTGAAGGAAGGACTTTCTCACCGGAAGGACAACACACACAGCTCGGACCACCGCGGGATTCTTCTTCCGACAAGTAGGATCGTTATTGTTAACAACCTGCGTGATACTATCTTGAAGTCGCTGTTAATTTCATTCCATTCTGCTTGATAGCACATGCTAATCTTACGTCTTCTTGAACGTAAATACGTATGGAGTCTAATTGAACCATCTAAACAAGCATACCCTTTATTCCAATTTTCTTATAATAATGATTTAAATTAAAAAAACTTAGAATAAGAGAAATTATAATTTATCCAGTGCGATGATGATGGTGATCATCATCATCATGAGAATACTACGGAGCGGGGATATCCAGTGCGAAGTAATTTCGTCCTTCGTCCATTTCTTCTTTTGGAATGATTTAGGGTGTGCTAATATGTAGGTTCTACTTTTTATAGTAGTATGTCAGCCTGTTCGCTGCCAACAATCTCTTCTAGTTCTGTCGTTCACATCACAGTGACTTAAATTTCCCAGGAACTGGCGAGGAAGAGGCGTTCCCAGACGAGCTTTAGAATGAATGTGGAAGGGTCTAAGACTTGATGCTTGGCTGTCTGATAATATGGTGTATTCACTATGTGTGATTGAGGTTAATGACTATTGAGTCGAGCCAAAAATATTTGAGAAAAAAATTGAGTACGCTCTATGCTAGTTCTTCATCGCAATGCCGCACGTGGTTATGCTACAAGACAGTGTGTTAGGGCCTGTCCAGTACCTGAACTAGAAAAAAGAATAAAACAATTAATCTTCATGTACTGGTTGATGCGCAGGAACTCTCCATGTAAAGTATAAGCTCGTATTTTACCAACAGGCCCTCGAGGTTATGTGGAATTATAATATACAGATCTGGGTCTATACCAGGAACTGCAGAATCACCCAATGGCTTCAGAATAGCCAAGTGGGTCGAACAATTATTTCACAATGGTACATCAAATATGAATACTAAAACATTGGAGAAGAGAGAGACCCACCACTTACAGGCTACAACTACATAGAAAAAGTTACATGTGGATTTCAAACACATAACCAGACTACTTAAACGCTTCCCAGAGGAGCTTTAGAATAAATGTGGAAGAGTCTAAAGATTTGATACTTGGTTGACTGAGAAATTGGGTATTCACGACGTGTGTTAACTATTAACGTATGTTAAGTCAAGTTGAAAATATAAGACTGTGAACGCCCAATGTTAGTTCTTCACCGTAGTGCCACACGTGGTTATTAGTACAAACAAATCCATGCTGGACTGCTAAAAGCCTGTGGCCTACCCTATACCTGCGATCTAGAAAGAAGAATAAAACAATCATCATGTACTGGTTGATGGGCAGGAACTCTCCATTTAAAATATAAACTCTTATTTTACTAACAGGTCCCCAAGCTTATGTGAAATTATGACATCCAGATCTGGGCCTGTGCCATCAACTGCGGAATTTCACAACTGCTTCGGAATAATCAACTGAGTCGACCAATTATTTCACATACAACATATATAACTTTTTTAATGCAGTGGCCTGTAAATGGTGGGTTAATATGTCTTTGTGGTTAGTTCTTTTATCTTCTCTAATGTTTCTATTTTAGTATTCATATTTGATGTACCAATGAAAAAATTGGTAAATAAAATGAAAGTGAAAATCATTGGTACATGAAATATGAATACTAAAATAGAAACATTAGAGAAAATAGAAGAACTAACCACAAAATCACACTAACCCACCATTTACAGGCCACTACATTAAAAAAAGTTTATATGTTTAATGTCAAACATACGATATAACCAGACTACTTGAACGCCTCAAACCACACGATTTATTGCCTGTGCAGCAATTGTGGTGGAATTGTAAATAATTAATAACTAAAAAAACCTATTTTTGTTATGTATACCTATATGTGTTTTTATTAATCTATTTTTTCCACAAAAATGACTTGTTACCTATGTGAAAAAGGTAGATTAATTCCGCCCTTATTAATTAATAAAAGTTCTCAAGTTTTATGAATTGGTAAAAACTACTTTTTATTTTTCAACGACTGCAACTTTTTATGCAACTATTATGTTTATTGTACACTATTGCTAAATGAATTTGAAGAAAAGAGTGAAAACTATTATACCATTGTAACAACTTATTTTATGAATTATATTTGATTGATTTTGATATATATTCGTAAAATAGTATAAACGAAAGTAATAAATATTTTAATTGATTTTTTACTGATATTTTATTATGATTATTTCATTGAATTAATTCTTGTTTCAATGGGCAATTTATATTTTCAACTCATTTATATTTTTATTTTAAAAATTAAACAATAAATCTTTCATAAGCGCGGTTTTATGCCCTTGGCACTCATTCACTGCACTTTCACTTACTCCTGGGAAAATCAGTCGATTCTAGAATCAACCACGGTTCGGTAAGTGAGAGAAAAACATGGGATTTTTCAGATTCCTTTGATGCCGATGATAAAAACGTTTTTTAATACAAGAGTCGTACACGATTCTAATGAAGCCCAATAGAAAAAAGATCCAATTGATTTAAGCACCTCGAATTACCTAGGAAATTCAATGTTTTTTAAATTAGGTTTTTAATGACCTTATGAGCTTACATATTAGCCAGAGTGCGGTTCCGTTAATTACTTGATTATTCATAGTTACGGGGGAAGGGTTGCGTTAAAAAGGGGCAGGGGGGACGATGGGAATCGAACCCAACACCGCAGAGTCCACGATCCAAGAGTCTATCACGGTAACCACAAGGCTACTGCGATCCCCCATTCATTTTTTCTCGATACAAATCACATTTTATTTTGAAAATATGCTAATTGCAAACAGTTGGACATAGATGATAAAAAATGTAATGGCGCAAAACTAAAACTACTGTATCTGGTTACTTCATTCATCCCTAGCTTCATAACATCAGGATTTGCTTTTCTATAATTAAGTATAAATTATAGAAACGTCTTTTTCTATTAAATGGAAATATATAATAAATTTACGTCGGAGTAAAACGAAAGCAAAAATAGTGTTTGTACGATTAAAAAAATAACCAAAGGTAGAAAATATAATTTTTAATTAATGAACAATTTGAACCACAAATCCATACTTTTTATGAAATAATTGTGCGTTTATTTTTTCATCTAAAAATTTTCTACTGTTGTATTCATTCATATATTTTTACTGTTATCATTAAGGATTCTTCAAATTTACATCTAGACGTTTTTAAACATTATTGAAATTCTTTTGCTATTTGTGAAAATTTGGAAAAAAATCCCGCCCAGATTTATAGATTTATGTTTTTAGAAAAATAACAATGATGAGTGGGAAAGTTGAAAAAGCTGCTTACGTTTCTTTGGCACCGGTTTGAAGACGTTCCAATTTTTCATTGACTTACTCAACGGTTTTTCCATTGCTCCCCGATGAGATAAATGCCTATTTTTAAGTATTGTCACATCACTTAAATAACATTGTGTAAAAACATTGTAACACAGTGTATAGAAAGTTTGAAACATATTTCCAACTGAGCTCTCTAATAGTAGATCAATATACTTTTTGATCATACCAAAAGAGAACTTTCATTATTCGTTAGTATTCAATAGTTCTTATAATAAAGGGTGGAAAAGAAATTATTATGGTATCTTATGGTTATTAATTATTATGGTAATTATTATGGTATTAAGGTATTTCCTTAACACAGTTCAAAAATCTAATCCTTTTTTATACAATTTTATACATTAAAAAAAGTGTAGGAAAATATTGTTATCGTACATGTAGTATTAGTTCAACACGTAAGTGTAAAAGAAAATTGTAAAATAAATATAATTGAGAAACACTTTTCATTTGTACATCTATCATCTAAAAGGGATCATATTCACCCGACTAAGAATATTTTACTTAGGCTTATCAAAAATCCTTAGGATTAGTTTTATGGATGAGTGGAATTTGTACATACCGTTTGAATGTATTTATTCGCGAGAATGGAAGGAGGTCGGCAGGGTTACAACCATCTTACCGACCTCCACTTTAATTGTAATATTAGGAAACTAGGTTTATTAGCATAAATGTGTATTATGAATGTATGTGTATGTAAATGGTCAAATACTTCAATTTCCCACATGCAGAGGGATACAAAGAGAAATGCAACAAATACCGTAAGGTCCGATGAGTAGCCGTTAGAATGACGTTATCAGTAGAAAGTGCAGATTTTTCAAAATGTGAGAAAGATATACGCGTGGTGCCGGCAATGACCGAAGCAGTTAGCCGGCCGGAAAAACATACACGTTACACGGGCATAGACTAAAATAAGTAATCATAATTTTTTTTAAACAGTCAACATATATTGAACACGAAATTTCTAATTGGTTTATTTTGTTGAAGGGTTCTTCATTTAAGCCGGTGTTACAGGAAAAAAAACGTGCGAAGCGCTTTGATTGCATCCATATCGTCGGTTGTTTTCGGCGCAATTGTTACAGGAGTATCATCACCCTCTTCTTCAGCTTCTTTTGATGCACTGAGATATCATCAATTATGGTCTTCAGGCTTGAAGTTTCGCTGGGCACAAGATTTTCGTCAAAAAAATCAAAACCTTCCAACTCAGTGCCGGAGTTATAAGGTCTTCCCAAGTTTCGTCATTCATCTATGCTCAAGCAAAAAAATGTCAAAAAGGTTTTTTTTTTAATTTATTTATTTGTAGCCTATACATACTTGTACATAATACAAATGTGATCACAACGTATATTGTTCACCGCTCCGTCACAGCACTAACACTGATGCCAGCGCTGCACCCGGAGGACGCATGCCATGAGAAGCCAGCCAGTGCTGGCACTCATTTTAATAGATTAAGGGGCGACGTGGTGGATTCTCGGGATGGGAATATGTGGAGAGGGCTCTAGCGGTAGGGTTAGGATGG